GCCACGAGTCAAACAAATGTATTTTAAAGTTATTAATTTTGCAGTATGTGTTTTACGAAAATCATTGTAAATGTGTGATCCAAATTAAGAATTATACTCACCAACACTCCAACCCATTGTGGCAAAACAGGTCGCCCTTGCACTGTTTTTCCTAGGGAAGTATTGACCTATTAAGTTCAACGAGGCATTGTCCACGAAGTTAGCGCCAACTCCGAAAAGTATACTATACGTCAAGAAAAGCATCCTCGGATGCGGCACGAAAGAAGACCCTAGTAGACCGACAGACACGAAAAACACGCCGATAAAGGACACCTTTCTGTGTCCAAATCGTTTAAAAAGTCCCGTAGATATAGGTGAGGCGAAGAAGAACATTCCAAATGCCATGGAACCGATCCATCCTACAGAGAGAACAACGAGGTAATTAATGTACACAAATTAGAAGGCACCATGGCATTTCTAGCACGACATGGACATCTCCCAGTGAACAAGTTTGACATAACTCTATACACACTGCCAAGTTTATTTTTATTTTACTATTGGTTAGTATACTGGAAACATCGATGTAAACTAAACCAATCCACATACGTATGTGGTACTGTGATCCAAGCTGCCTGGATCTTACGAACAGCTCGACAACAAAAGCAGGAAATATCATACATAATGTTACAAAACGCCCACTTTCTAAGCAGAAGATGGCGTGACTTCAAATTTATGCAAAGTGGCGTAAAGAAAGCGTATGACATGGAGTGGTGATATCCATCAACAAAGCGACCCACTTGTTCACAGTATACGTGTTACCAGTATTTCAAAGGTCTCATCACGATTAATAAAAAGAATGCATGTGGATGTTACTCCAGACTCGACATGTCCGAACTCCGTTCATAAAGCGTAAGGCGTGATTCTATTTAAATTTATTGGACGATGCGAACAAGGCTGACACAGTGATAGTACCTCTGTAACACATATTTCAGTGACGTATAGACAGTGTCGTGAACGGCTGTATAATATGGTAGTGGTGTAGTATTTCTCGTGTAGTGTAGTGTAGTGTAGTGTAGTGTAGTGTAGTGTAGTGTAGTGTAGTGTAGTGTAGTGTAGTGTAGTGTAGTGTAGTGTAGTGTAGTGCAGTGTAGCATAGCATAGCGCAGTGCAGTGTAGCGTAGTGTAGTGTAGTGTAGTGTAGTGTAGTGTAGTGTAGTGTAGTGTAGTGTAGTGTAGTGTAGTCACAGTCAGCTGGCGCACAAGTGATAAGACAATAAATGCGATATTTACTAGATGGCGGCCCATATAGTAAATATCGCAACTATTTTATCATTTGTGCGCCAGCTGACTGTTAGTGTAGTGTAGAGTAGTGTAGTGATATTGCCGTCACGTGATATTTGGCGTGAGTAGCTTATGGTAAACAAACTGATTTCCAGGTAATTTTGTTATTTACATTTTACGGACGTACTCATAGTCCCCCCCCCCACAATACTCAGTCTTAACCTCGGACCATTTATAGTGAGTTTTAATCGGGGGGAGGGTAAGTCAAAGAAATGCGTGTCAAGGAATATGTTACGTAATTACTATAGCCCTCTTACTCAGCGAATAAATAAAACTGAATCCATATCTGTGTGAACAATGTCGTACGTGTACAATTGGTAACGATCCTGTGTAAATAACAGCAACACGTTTCAATTAAGTCCGTTACAACTTGTCTGAAGAAAGACAATAAACGCCTCATTTAGGGGAGATTTACAAACCAGGTTTCTATAGGTCGACACTTGGGGAAGTGACCTACGTTTTAAATAACAATGCGATGAATTGCAATTAAACCGTTAACGAAGATAATTCAATTTCCATGTTATCTACCCAATTCGGTATAGCGCAATTCGCCATTGTAATATTACTACAAACAAGGTTATAACCTAGCTATAAACCGTGTTTCCAAAGTATGGAAGGAATGTCGAGAAGAGAAACGATTGGCAATTAACTGTTTCTATATGGATCCAATAAAAGAGTACCAGTAGCGACACCATGCCTTAAAATTACGACCATGGCCGTCGATTTGAGTATGCTGCCTTACGTTTGTAAAGAGGAAATATTATAGTATTACTACATCCCTCGAACGAAGTCATAAGGGAGAAAGAATCAGAACATTCCCAGGGCCCAGTTTAATCCTACATTACAACGTTATCCATCTTTATTACTAAAAAAAAAATTATAATATTAAAATTATATAGCACACCCAACGTATTACTTCCGGTAATTGTATTGTAATCGACACAGTGATTCACGTGACTCCCTCCGCGTAATCAACACGATACGTCCTCTTTGAGGTCAGGGTTACGAGATGTGAAATGAAAGTCAATTTCGACTTCAAGTGAACAGTTTCTAATTCCGAGTCGTTACATTTCATAATCAACAAATTTCCCTTTCTTTCTTTATTTATTTTTTCTTTTATTTATGTTTTTGTTTAACTATTTATCCCGAGGGAGCACCTCATATTTGTTTACGAGGAAGGGCATTTAAAAATTCTGTAAAACCCCTCTTTTCCTTACAAGTTTAAAACAGCAAAAATAATATTCCGTGAAAACGCATCATTATTCCTCAAATTCCGCATGCAACTGCGAAAATAAATTACACACAATACAGTGAAATGCATTGTATTTTCAATAACAACTTTGAAAAATACCAGTACAGTGTATAACTAACGCATTGGTTTATTATATCAGCATACCATTGCGTATTTACAGCACACGAATTTTTTACGTTCCATGTCATATGAAATAATCAGTACTAGTATTTAAGAGCCGTCGTACGTTCGTCGCGCCGCATCCTCTTGTAAAAATACTAATATTCCTACTAATACAGATTATTCTAATATTGACCTAAAAACGTAAAGGTCGCCTGTGCATGGTCGCTCGCAGTGTTGAAGGGAGGTGGTCATCGCGCCGCGTCCTGTCGATATGGGACTAATAGCGACGTATACAACGCGTGTAAAATACATTGTTTATTTACATGAGAATCGAACACGCGCCGCGTGACGACCACCGCCCTTTGACAATGTAGGCATGTATATTACATGTATTTATTTTTAAGGATTCAATATCGCATACATATTCAAACAATAACAGAGTTCGTCCTAAAGCTAACAGTTCATTTACCTAGCTACAATCCCAAGAAGGGACGTGATAAGACAACTTTTGTCAGACGCGGAAGAAAATGTGAAAACGAACATATTAGTTTCCACGCGTTATACGAGTCGCATGAGACCATGTCGAACCCAATACGTCACAACGATTGTTTTATGCCGGGAATATTTTGATATTTTTGTATATAATATTTATGCATGTACGACACATATCTGTACACGTACTAAATATATACTCGCATCGTATACATTGCATCAGACTCAACGTGCATGATGAAATCGAAATTTAAATAATGAAAGGCTTAACAATGAAAATAAATCGCTCCAACGTCGAGAAAATATGGCGTGTCCATAAGTTCATAAACACTTCACCTCAAGCCATGAGCTAACTTTATGGTCAGATCACTAGTGGCCTGATGTTAACAATAGTTTAGTAAGCATATATTTACATGGCAACACGTCTCCAGCACTGTTAATCGAAAGTTGCATCATCTCGTGGGAGTTACCCTAATTCCATTCAATGGTTCACTGTTTATTGTTTGACTGACTGAATGAATGGGCGAGTGTTTTTTTAGACGTCTCGGCCAAAGCTCTCATACATTTGTTACTCGAGGTTAAGGGAGAACCATACTTGAACAAAGAAGAAACGAATCGGTACAAACCCAAGCACGGGGGTAAACTAATCTCGAGTTGTTCGTTTGTCTCCGTTTGAACTGAAATGCAACCCCTGGTCTTCCATTGCGCAATGACGATAAACTATTGCACAACTTTCAGCATCGGCGATATTTATATATTTATGGCTTCATGGTGTTTCCCTAAACTCGACGAGGTCATTCTAATTAAGACAACGCTCTGTAGTCGCTCATTTAATTCTCAATCACTCCCTTATCTAAATACGTGTGTGTTACATTTAAATCGTTCAAAGTAAAGTGCCGGGTCAAATAATATTATCTGCCGATAAAACGAGGACACGTCAATCAATAGATAAGGATACTTCGATGAAGCGCTGAGGCAGAATTTCAACTTGAATTTGGCATTACTTTTTCAATACTGACCTTGTGACTGGAAACAAAGACAAGTTAGTTTATTTAACAGAGATATCGAACTGTTAACGTTAACATAAACGTAACAGTTATAATAGTGATCGACGGTTAATTTTACAATTTGGGAAAAACAAACGAAGTGCTTACAATTGTGTAGATGCGAGGATCTAACTTTTCAGTAACTTTAACAGACCTTTAAATTTGCCCTTGAGTCTATTCATTATCGCGTTGCAAAGAAAAACAACAGTTTTTTTTTAGTCTTCGGAATATTCATAAAGGCAACAGCTGTTTTGTTTTTTTTAAATTCACACACCCGACAATGTAGCCGACATTAAATTAATAACAGGGCCAGGGCGAAAACGTGACAAGCAAGCGTACTTTAGTCACAACATCAATTCTTTTTACCAGCATAGCACAATAAACACGTAAATACATTAACATACAATGCGATAGGCAAATCAAATGACTGACCTGTTTCGAGATCGGTGATTTCGGGATATTCCCCTTGTAGTTTCACGAATATAATTCCAAATGCGCTAAGAATACCCGTAATCGGTATACAAACAACAAACGTAGTGAAAGCCACAACCCACCCCCAACGGTTTTTCACCAACACCATGGTTCGCTCATTTGACTTTTGCCCCGACGCGAAACTGTTGTTGCTGGTGCCCGTTGTCGGCTGCTATTAGCTGCGGCGTCCACAGTAAACGAACTGATCCTTTGGCAATCAGCTGAAAGCCAGCTGACTCAACTGTTTAACATATTAAGTAGGTCATGTGACGTCGACTGCCCAACAAGGTCACTGCGGGGCGTTTCTTTGACGCTATTGAATGCCTGCGTATCAGGTGACTATTTCAAAAAGCGGATATTTAGGGGATTTACGGCATCAAACCACTAGTATTGCACAATTCTCGTCGTAAATGACATATGTCTCCGGGTTTTCCAAAACTTGAAACGACGCATGGGAGGCTGAAACAAACAAAAGAATACGTCAGAGCATCGGAACTACCACGAGTTTGGTTTTAATTGGGGTAGACATGATAAAACAATGTAAATGCTGCACATTGTTCTCATTTTCACATTTGAATGTGAAAGAAAACTCGTCAAATGCAAAACAAAAAACAAAAAAAAAAAACAAAAAAAAAACATGCCTTAGAGATTCTTTGTTTGACGTCACTGTAAAATAATAAAAGCAAGGAGGGGGGGGGGCGATTTACAAAATAGAAGACACAGACTGAATTTTCTCAGTATTTATTTTTTTTTGAACAAAATATAAACTGTTGAAGATTAGGGGTCAAACATTTGAAATAAGAGGGTGATGGTTGGAAGTGTGTGCGCAAGTGCAATTCCTTTTCGCAGTGTCTAATCTGTACATTTTTATTTTTCTTCAGTTGAAATTGCCACCATTTTGTTCTCGTAACACTTTGCATGATCAGAAATATTATTTTCTCCCGGTATAGTATACTGGCACCGTATACGTTGCATCAGACTTAGCATGCATGGTGAAATTAAGGGTTTAACAATGGAAATGCAGTAGTGCATTTCCGCTACTGAATCGCTTCAACGCCGAGCAAATATGAGTGGTATTGGGTCCCGGTATTGGGTCACCACCGTGGTTTGCTGCAGTTTAGCAGCTCTTATTGGCCGCTTAAGCTATTTTGATATTACGTTGCGGCCGCAACGTATACCACGACTAAGAGAGCTGCATAAACTGCAGCAACACCGTGGTCAGTGATATGGAGCGTCCGTAAGTTCATAAACATTTCGCCTCAAGCACAGTTATTATATAGTCTATAGAGGGACTGTTCCTCAAGCTATGGTATACTTTTATGATCAGACCACTAGTGGCCTGATGTTACAAGTAGTTTAGTAAACACAGCAACACGTCTCGGGCGTCGCCTCGTGTAAATTACCCCTGGGAAAGTACCCTAATTACTTTCAGTGGTTTACTGTTGACTGAATATGCGAATGTTTTTTAGACGTCTCGAAGACAACTCTCATAGTTTTGTTACTCAAATGTAAGAGATAACCACACTCAAAACAAACGCGTCAAGCACAAATGTCTATCCTGCAATTAAGGTAGAAGCCTAGTCATAATTTTTGACAAAATTGGTCATAAATCGCATGACAATGTTCATTAGTTTAGTATGTACAATCATGAAGCTAATGTCCAATGGTACAGTTACAATGAAATAGCATTATTTTGTGTGTTGAGAAACGTGTCCAAATATTTCTTGAAAATTGCTATTTCTAGAACATTTCCATAGAACACAATGTTAAAGAACAATTTTAATTTTTTTACACTTTTTAAAACCCAGATTTTTTAAATAATCCAGAATAATAAAATGTTCTCCATCATTAATATGTGTTTTTTCAGCCTATGTCACCAGGCTAGATTTTAGGATATTACATAATATCTCTGCCACAGGAACCTGTGGTAAAACCACTATAATAGTGTCAAAATGGTGACTTACACTGAAATACAACCATCAAATTCTCGAAAAAAAAGGCTGGTGACCCCCAACTTTTTTAGGTCAATATCCTTATATTGCCTTGGATTACAGTTTATTGCAAAATAAATAAATTCTAGGTATTTTAATTTTTGAGTAAGCTTCTACCTAAGTATCATAGTGTCAGCTTTATTGTAACTCATTGTTCATAACAGTTGTTCCACTACAGTTTTCTTTTCAAAGCTTCATCCTCGTTTCGGACACGTGCCTCCACAGACCTCAGATTTTCAGCCCACACAGGCTGGGTATACGGACATATGCATTTCCTTCGTTCGCATGTAACGGCACGAATATACATACCGCAAACAGATGAGAACGTCGTAAAACAGGAATTACAGACGACATCATTGCCGCAAAAAGGTTGTTGACCTTATTTGCATACTTGTTTTCGATAAGTTCTAGGCGCGCGCTATCGTCAAGGGATAATTTTAGCACAATCTCAGTGGAATTTCGAAAAAATCACGCTAAATATAGCACATGAAGCAAGTAACTAACATCGGCAGGTTAATATACTATGTCAAAGTGAACACGTACCGCGTGCGTGACACGCCACCTAATCGTGAAGCTTCACGTCACGTCACGGCACGTTTTCCCCTCCGGTCACCAAAATATGTTGACATGAACTTATCTTGCCGTTTATTCGGTGTTATTTCCTTTTTTTTGCTTTCTATATAAGTTGCTACTATTATTTTACAATTATTTTCCAGTACTTATTCACAAATATAGTACAAGAATGTGCCATACAACCTTGACACTGTTTTCAATCGGAGCGTGTTCACTGGAATTTCGAAAGTGACTCCCATTTAAAAAAATAAACAACATAAATATGGGTCTTGGGAAAAATTGCTGAAAGCGAAAATTGTCAAAGCGCGTTTTTCACTGTGAAGGGATATGTTCCCAAAACACGCCAACGGTAGTGGTGTTTTATTTTTTTATTGAAATCGAAGTAAATTATAACTACTAGTATCCGTTGTAGTTTACTAATTTCCACGCAAATATAGCATTAACATTCTATACTCTTTTCCCGATATTGATTTTACTTCCAAGTTTGATTTTATGTTCCGTATTAAAGACCAAAGACACAGAGAAGGTATCAATGTGATGAATGGAAGAACTGGACATAGAAGCAACTTTAAAAAAATGAACTGAATTGAACCCGAAGTCAGTTTGAGCTGATCACATACACGATGGTTTGCTCAGCTCGGTGCAATGAAAGTGTTACGTACCTCGTGAAATACCAGAGGATCTGGCACTGTGCTACATAAAAGTCAAGTCGATCGTCGTCGCCGGAGATAGATAGAACAAACGAATTTCCCGTGACGTAATACAATGAACCAAAAGCAGAAGACTGTAATCTCACCGATCGCTAGAGGGCGCTGCGACAAAAATCAACGTTCGATTACTGCGCAGGGTTTTTTCTAAATTCCTTGTTTTCTTAATTGACAGCACAAAAACAACCCCATTGTTTTTTATGTTTACACTCCGAAGTCTAGATGTTATTGCGAAAGAAGATATCTTCTCCACTTAAGCCGCCCAACGTAAATAAGATAAATGGAGTGATAAGACAAACATCAATATTAAGATTTAAAGAGACGAGAAAACATGTACTGTGTGATAACATATCAAATGTTACCACGTTATCACATTAATAATGATTTTTTTTGTTTTTCGAAACAACACGCATCAGGCCATTTCACACACGAGTGAGAAGCGTGGTGTAACAGCAACATGACGTAGTGGCCTCTGGTCGGTGTCTCTGGCTTCTGCACGTAAAAAAACCGTTAGCAAAGAATGTACTCATCATTCACGTGACCACACCCTTATGTACCCTCCCATACTTACTGCAGATCTACTACCCTCATCTGCACATACCGCCGAGGCAACACACTACACTTTCGTAGATTTCGAAGCCTACTCATAAATGAAAATACCCAGAATTTATTCAAGTTCATTTTGCAATAAATTGTACTCTCGGGCAATATAAAGATATTGACTTTCAAAAAAGATGATGATGGTTGTATTTTAGTGAATAATGGCCATTTTGTCAGTATTATAACGCTTTTGCCATAGGCTGTTATGGCTGGGATATTATGCCATATCTCAAATCGGAGGCTGAAAATATCACATTGATTGGGGGTAATTTTGTTTTTTAATTATTTCAAAAATCTGGGTTTTAAAATAGATCAAAAATGCAACGAAAAATGTAAAATGTCGATTTAAAAAAAAAAAAAAACGTTTCTCAAATAGTTCGCTGATTGTACATAATAAACTAGACTGGCACAGTCTGGACGATTTATTTCTTTTTAAATTAAAAATTAAATAAAAAAAATAGCGAAATGTAGGTGTTAACGCGAAATCCTTTGTAACCGCGAAATAAGTCAGAAGACCACTCCTTGTGGTGGTTTCGCGTTGAGAGAAATCTCAGACTACTATACATCTCGAACTATCTCGCGTTATTTGATGAAATAATAATGGATATCGCGTTATTAGAAGTACGTTTAGGTTGGATTAGTTCGATCGGTTGTTTATTGGATTAAATAGTTAAGCCCTAAAACAAACGTAGCACGCATCTGAGGAAAACCGCGTTGCTAGTCTGCTCTATAGTAATCTGAGAAAAAAATGCATGCCTAAATTGTTTATTTCGGCAAACCTAGGCGCGTGCGCGTTTATGAATACACTTGGATGTCATAGTTGTATATATGTTATTAGGTATTGCAGATCATGTGATACATGTCAGAAGACCACTCCTAGGTTTCGTGTTAGCAAGGTACCATTAGGCGATATGCCCTTGATTGAAGTTCCATTCCAAATGATAGCCATGGATCTGATTGGTCAGATCAGTCCAACAACTACATTTTAACTGTTGTAGACTATGCTTCACGAGACTCTAAGGCTGTAGTTAAAGAAAATTATTTTTCCGAGGTGGTGCTGATGCATTAGTCAGTATATATAGTAGGGTTGGTGTACTGAAAGAAGTTTGTGTCAGTATATATAGTAGGGTTGGTGTACTGAAAGAAGTTTATGTCTGACATTATGAAGGAAGTAGAGTGTTGTCTAATAAACAATTAGTAACTACTCCATAATGCCCAACATGTAATGGTTTGGTTGAGCGGTTTAATGTTACTTTGAAAAGTATGTTGAAACCAAGTGCCAAGAAAGACCCAATGATTGGGATAAGTATCTTGACCTAGTAATGTTTGCCTATAGAGGAGCTCCTCGGAAGAATTTAGGGTTTTCACCTTCGATCTTATTTATGGTAGAATCGAGAGGGGTCCAATGATGAATTTTAGAGACTTGTGGACAAAGGAGGCCGCTGCACCAGAGGTTAAAACTACATATCAGTATGTACGTATGTATGTATTAATTTTAACATTTTATATTTATTTACACACTAAATGTGATTTACTAGCTTGAAATGACACTTCAAACAAATTATGTTGTGGCTAGACTGGTAGCCCCATGGGTGTAGGTCATACGTCCTGTCTCATACAGTTTTGAGGTAAGTGAATTGTAATGGTTCGTCATTCTATGGATTTACTCGATTTTCACTGTTTGTGCTTGTAATATTAGGTCTTTTTCTTTAGTAAATGGCGCCCTCACTCAGCAATAAATAGAATGAGTGGTTCGTGAAAACTTCAATGAGTCGCGTGCTTAGGAATTAGTAATGCTGTAGGGTATATTGGGAGGGGTAGAGGAATTCGGGTTTTCAGTGACTGGTTGTAATATTCTATCTCGTTGTTTTCATTGATTCATTTGATTGGTTGCTGGGTCATCGTTAAGACACCCTGTATAGATTGAAATGGTATGGTCCAAATCAAAATTCGATATGGCGGTGTCTTCTGAAAAATGTACATCAACATGATTTCTGTTCACTTATTACTGTTGTAGATCCCGAAAACTAGCCATTGAATGTGATGTGGGTAAATACAAGATTCATTAATTACTGCTGGCAATAATTTAATTTGAATTGGGAGCAAACTGTGACACCAATTCTAGTCGTTTTATTGTTATGCTTCTAAAATAAATTTTCTAAATGTCTTGAAACCGATTTAAATATAAGGATATGGATTGTAAAATATAACGATAAAAGAGTGTCCAGCAAAGTAATGTGTATATGGTAACGGTCGAGTCTTATTGACACTCGCTATCTTAGTTAGAGTGGAGCATTGAATGTAATAGCAAGGACTTTTGACATAGTGTGTTTTAATGTATTTTGTGGTCATTTGTTCATTTTCAATTTTCAGAAGCAGAATTTATTCAAGTGTATTGTAACAACTGCTCAAGTGACTGTCAAATATGCCATGTCCTGCTTGTTTTCCTTCTTACCCTTTCTCTACTATTGTTACATTGGTGAATTTATGAATTAATTACATCTGTAATTAGGTGTTTAAAATTATGTAACACTTGTAGGAGTTTTAGTATGCCCGTGCACTATGAAAGTAAACATTCATTGAAATCAAGCGAAATACTGCAAATATAGCAAAATAGTTTTAAAGAATTCAGTTAGAATATTATAAAATGAAATAAAATAAACGGAGATAGTGTGTGTATTTTTGTATGTTTAAGACTTGGCTAGCCCATATAATAATGTGAAGTAGGAAGTTTTCCTTTTTTCCTTTTTTTATTTGTGAAAAACTGTTGTTTTAAAGGGGCAATTCCAGTTAAGCCTAATCTCACAACAAATTTACTTGCTGGATTAAAATCACAATGGATAACAAAAAATATATTAACTTTGTAAATAGCATAAACAATAGTGTCCCATGATTCTGTGGTGCAATCCCTGGGCTTGGAAGGTTCCCCTTCAAGTTTAAGACTGTAAACAATAACACACCTAGAGTGAAGGCCAATTCATTAACTTGTATCACTTGTCTCTTCTCTTGTTTAAGTGTGAAAGAACATATAGTTAAGTGACTAATTCTTATTTTTTCAAATGTTAGAATTTCTTCTATTTGGGAAGATTCTTCTGTAAATAGAACAGATATATACAGATGATAGACCCCGCGGTAAAGAACCACTGTCAGCACCATGTATAGTTTATTTCGCGGTAACCCAGTTTTCAGTCATAAGGATTGGCTCGATTGTTGAATTACTAATTTTGGACTAATATACCCGCATTTTTCATGCTTGAAATAAATCTCAGCTTAACGATTTACGTCACGACAAAAAAATATCACTGCTGTACCATAAATACGTTGTCACTTCCAGGCTATATACTAGTAACTAGAAGCTAGGCTTAGTCTTAGGAAACTATTCGTGATGGCGATCTGGTTGGTCGTAGCTTCAGTGATGGCATT